GCGACGGCCTGGCCGGCCCCCAGGAACTCCAGCTGCAGGGTGATGGCAGCGTGCAGGTCCACGCTGGGGTTGTACTGCATCAGCTCCACAAAGACAGCCCGGCTCCTGCGGAGGGGAGAAGAACAGCTCCAGGAACTTGGACACCACCAGCCCTGGGCTTTGGTGCCACTGTTTTGTAGGATCATAGATCCTCTGCCCCCTGTGTCGCCCTGGCAGCTCCCCTTAAACAGCTGGGTGCCAGCAGAGTGCTTCCTTGGCCCCTGCCACACTTACATGTTGTCGATCCAGGTGTGCTGCTGAAGGAAATCCAGCTGAGCTCTGCTTTCCTCCAGCGAAGCCCCCAGCTCCTGGACGTAACCGCTGCTATCGTAGAAAGAGATGTAACCCCAGTACCAGACCCTGCAGAGGAAGAGGAGCCACGGGGTGAGAGATGGAGGACAGGGCAGCCACTGGTGTGCTCTCCTACGTGGTACACGTGCAGATGCAGACCCCGACCCCTACGCTGCACATCCAAGCGCAACAGCTGCCTCGTTAGTTATTTCACAAGACAAATTACAGAAGTGCATTGAGCCATCTCAGCACTCAGGACAGCCCCAAGCCCCGTGGTGCCCCAGACTTCAATGCAGACGCATCCAGGAACAAACCAGAGCAGGAACCACCAGCGATTTCATGCCCAGTATGCTGGTGGAGGCCAGTCTCCCATCATCTGCTTTGACACAGCTCATGCTGCTCTGCGGTCTCTGCGGGCAGCTGCGTTGCCTTGTGCTGCAGCTTCTCTCTGCCCTTGAAGTTGGAGGAGTTGAACCCTCCGTCCCTGTGCCCCCGAGAACAGCCCCACGCTGCTGTTCAGACGGCTCAAGGTAACAGGCACATCCCCAGGGAAGCAGCCATGTGCCTCCCACCACTCACGCTGCCAGCATGTACGCGTCCAGGGAAGGCATTTGGCATTTCCGTGCTGATTTGGGCTTTGCCAGGCTCAGGGGCTGCGGTTGGCCTCACTGAGACAAGGGCTGGGAACCACCCCAGGCACCGCCTGCCCCGTAAAGGTGTGATGTCCTTGGCAGGGGGAGCAGGGCTGTGGGTGCCGCCGGGCAGCTCCTTACCCCGTCAGGTCGGGTGGCGAGTAGGACCACGCAGCCGTCGTGTTCACGGCCGCCCGTTCCCAGCCAGCTGCGTAGTTGGCAGTAGAAAAGCCGTGCAAGTTGGTGCAGTTCCTCCTGGCAGCCGTGCCCACGCCGGGGAGGATGTCCTGGGCCGTGAGCTGGCACTCGGCTGGAACGAGACCACCACTGTCATCCCTGGGGAGCACTGGGGAACACAGCTGAGCTTCCACACTTGGCAGCCCCCTTCTTCCCAAGCCCCCTCCATATCCTTGCTCACACCCCCACAAATCAGGCCAAAGTTGGTGCAGTTCCTCCTGGCAGCCGTGCCCACGCCGGGGAGGATGTCCTGGGCCGTGAGCTGGCACTCGGCTGGAACGAGACCACCACTGTCATCCCTGGGGAGCACTGGGGAACACAGCTGAGCTTCCACACTTGGCAGCCCCCTTCTTCCCAAGCCCCCTCCATATCCTTGCTCACACCCCCACAAATCAGGCCAACCTCTTCAGTGTAAACCCCCAGGATCGATGCCCCCAGCCCATCTCTGGAGGAGCAGAACCAGAGGCACACCAACATGTGTGCTGCAACGAA